GGACCTTGCATACCCCAGTCCCATGTTTCTTTACGTGGGAGGCCCACGGCAGCTTTCCTCCCTTCCTGAGAAGCTGCTCCAGTTAGACTTCCTTGGAAGTAAAATATTTTTCATATTGCACTGAACTTTCTGAGCATTTTCAGGAGAGCTCCCAGTGCCAATATTGCCTCTTCTATTTTCTAAAATGTCCAAATGCCTTTTGGTTTCTCCATGCTAGCAGTGCCCTTCAGCACTGTCTCCTTCACTCACCTCTTCCAGGCCAATTTCTGGGACAGAGGCTGACTGTCTTCTGGTCACTCTGGCTGCTGGAATTGTGGATATGAGGTGGTTTCTTGGGACCTTAGACACAGAGATATATTCTAGAAAACCACCTTGGTGCCCAGCTTCTGGTGGTTTGGCTGTTGTTCCCTGGTTTATCTGCTCCATCTTCCCTTAGAGCCAGAGATATTTCTCTGCACTTCAGTCTGAATCACCTGAGGGTGCTGATGTTTCATTCCTTCTCTTTAATGTGGGGTGATCTGAGGACAGAGCCTTGTGCAGGCATGTTCTGGGATTCTGGGGGCTCAGTGGGTGAAGCATGCTGTAGAAGGCATGTCGCTTCCCTTCCACCTCAGGGCTCATGTCATAGGCAGTCACCTTCATCTGCCTTTTTCCTCCAAACTCTTACCCTCTAACAACATCCTATACTTGTTTTTTAACTTCAGCATTAGAGTATCTCATTTTTTCCAGACCTCTTAGTTTTAGTTTCTCAGTCAGTGACCCATTACATCCAAAAGTGGATTGCTCAAGAGGCTGGCACAACCAACAAGATCAGCCTTGTATTACTGTCACAGCATGACCAGGAGCTATAGAAAGAAATAGGAAAGAAAGTTATGTGCTCCAGTGTAATTTTCTAGGCAATGTTGTAAGTCCTGCCAGACCCTGAAACTTCCAAGGAGAAGAGGCTTCAAGTTTTCAGGGTATGAGAGGAAGAGACAATGAAGAGACAGGGAGAGGGAAAGTATGAACCCTATTCTGCTTAAATGCAGCCTCAAATAATTTGGTTGTACAGTCTTCACAAATGGACCAACAAGCTCTGCCTCCTCCTGCACTAATATTTGTCATGCCTATATTGTCTGTCCTTCTGTAGCCCATCAGTTCTTTGCTTATCTCTTCTGCTCTGTGTTTTCACCTCTTCTCTCCGTCCTTTTCCTCTGAAAAATTATTTTACAACCTACAATTACTGCACTTGGCTGCAGTCTAGTTGGGCATATCAGGAAGTTTTCTGGATCAGTTACGGGTGGAGTTTCCCAAAAACATAAATTTGGTATTAGTGCTGTACAATGGGTTTGTCAAACCCTGTATATCATGAGGCAACCTCAAAATGTTGTGCCTTCTTGTAGATTTCTCTCCTGGTTACCTCACATGACAGAGCCAGCACGGTCTTCACAGTCACACAGCAAAAAGTGACCACAGGCATAACCTTGGCGTATGCCAGGAGAAACCTTCCTCACGTTCACGTGTTTCTTTCCATTGGCCTGAAGCATCAGTACCAATCCTGCTGGGTAGAAACCTGTCCAAGCAGACATTAAGAAGTTATGGTGGGTGACAGAGTTAGAGGTGTAGGCACATTTTCAAAGTGGCATGGGAATTAGCAAGCTCACTTCGGCCAGTTGTCGTGGTATGACAAGCTGTATAATAATGACATTGTTTGCAACATCTATGGAATCCAGTTTGAATCAGGACATTTTCCATAAGAGGATTATAATTACTTCAGTCAAAGACTTGGTGTGCCACAAATAGCTCTCCTTTCCTGCATTTCTTCTTGCAAGAGGCTGTTTGCACACATTTCCCAAGGTTTGCACAAAATTTTCCATACTAGGTATCCTTTTTGGGATGAAATTTTCTAGAAATTTTCCTTTGCTGGAACCTTTCTCGCATCAGAAAGCGTAAAAACAGCTGATGGGAAATAACTGGTGTGGGAGACATTTCTGAGAACACAGGCAGGCAGCTCGCTGAAAGCTGTCATAGCAAATGAGCCAGGCCAGACCAAATGTGAATCCAGTGGTACCAAGACTAGCTCAGCATCGGGATGGGACTGGGGTAAGGAGATGAAAGAGTAGATCTGGCAAACACAGAGTGGCTGGGGACTGGACAAGACACTGAGAAGTCTGGAGAAGGACTGAGGAGATGTCAGAGCTGGGAGAAGTCAGACTTAAGGCAGAGGGAAGAAATGGCTCTGGTCCATTAGATCCTGTTTCCTAGCACTTTGCAGAGCAGCCTCTCGTTCGAATAAACGATGACTGAGCCACTTGCTTGGTATTTTCCCCAGCTGCTCACTTTCCCTGTGGCATGAGTGAGCATGGAGGTTAACACCCTGTTTGTGTTGCTGATTTCTTCACCTTTTCAAGAGGCAAAGATCAATATGGTGAATCTAGAAGCATAAAGAAAATGCATAAGGCAACTATCTGGAACTGTATGTTTAAATCCTTTTACTAAGCCAACTTTTGAAAATTGAATTTTATCTCTGCATCTGTATCATCAGCCTGGCAGCTGTACTGCTGTGTAGGAAGCAGTGGGATGGAGATCTGAAGAAGCTGGCAAGGAGGGGGATGTAAAACCCAAAACCTGGAGACTGCAAAGTTATAAGGAAGTGTTTTGAATTCTCACTGAGCTCTAAGATACTCTACAAGGGAGAAAGCAACAGAGTTTAAATCAAGAGACAATGAAAAACAATGCTGTGCTTATAGGTCCAGTCAATAGCTTTTATGTCAGTGGGAAGATGAAGAGGACAAGGAAGGGCCTTGTGAAAAATAGGAATGAGAAAGCTGCAGATGAAGTTGCCTGTTCTCCTTGTTTCTCCTCAGAAAAGGATTCTGCTATCTAACAGTGGTTTTATGCATCACAGACCATGTTTGTTTGCTGCTCTTCCTATTTGATTTTATAATGGTGAGTGCATCCTTTTGCATTTTTCAAAATAATTTTGGTGCTTGCAGGTTGATTTGCCACACTAACATTCCCTCCCATCTCTATCCATTCAGCCTCTAATAGTAGCTCATACTGCCTTCCTCTCATGTATTCACATCCCCACTGTCTCCAAGGTATTTTCCTGTCTTCTAAACACCCTGCAGCATTTTCCCCCTGCCCCCTTCTTCAGCAGTGGCACTGAGAAGGTCTCACCTTGGCTGCTGTGCCTGCTTCTCCATGCCTGTTGAAGGCAGAAGGTCCTTCTCACCTTCTCAGTGCTTCTTCTGCTGTATTGCTCAAGCACAGGAAGCTCCATGCCTGGAAAAGTGCTGAGTTAAGCACAGCATCATCAGGGAGCCTAAAAGGTTTGGTTTCTTGCAAAGCCCAGCATGGCCACTGAAAATGGTTAACCTCAAGCTGTGTCTATAGGTGCTTCTCTATATAGTCCCTTGGAGTCCCTGGCAATGTGTGCAATGCCTGGCTGTGTGGTGAGGGGGGACTGGGTTTGCTTTAAAGCACATGGTGCTGCAGCCTCAGGTAGATGCAGGGGCAAAGAGAAAGGAAACCTGCTCAGTGAACTAGAAATTCCCACACTCTGTTGTCAAACATGCTTGTTCACTGGTGTGGAAAAGGGAAGCTGAGGAGAAGAGAAATGAATTTGAATGCATTTTAATTGGGATTATGGGCATATGGCGTAGTGTCATTTGTTTTCCTCTTCCTGCTCTGCAGTGGGGCTCTAATACCTTCACACATTTGCCTTTATTTCCCATGTCAAAAGAGAAGACAGCAACTGGCTTCTTTCTCCCCTCTTTTGGGGCCACACTAAAAGCCCTCACTTTACATTGAACTTTGCCAAAAGAACAATCATGATTTTCAGAAAAAGTGCAGCTAGATCACAAAAACAGATTAAGCAGCGCTGACTTACTTTTATTAAACTTTTCAGCTGCTCCTTGGAGGACCTTTGCTATTTTCCAGCAGCAGAAAGGGATGGATTAAAGGGGGGAGAGGAGACATGATGGACACAGTACCACATGTACATAATTCACCAGCAGCTGGATAGTTAGGTTTTATTGTTATGGTAGTATATTCAGTGTTTTGTAAAAAGCTACTTAGGGAGCTATTTCCCTTGTTGTACAGCAGTTTGATAGATGTAAGATTCAGACATGAGCCTTTAATTGTGCCCAGCATCACCACAAAAGCAATTTCAGCTCTCTCCCCTGTCTCATGCAGCATCTTGGGATGCTCTGCATTTGAATGTGAACAAAATATTGTTTAACATGGCTTTAAATCATTACAGAAATATTCTGTAGCATCCACTGGGAAAGGCTGCTTCCATCTGTCCTGTTCATTTCTCACAGTCGCTTTGGGAACCAGGGCCAGCAGTCACAGAAATTTTGTTTAAAGGTTAAGCACTGAGCAGCATGATCTTCATACACTGTGAAAGCTAATAACAGGTGAAGGTGTTGCTCAGAAACATTTAAAGAGGAATGCAAAGCTTAAAGCTAAGCATCTTTCTCAACCTTCACATAACTCTTTCCACTCATCTTCCAAAATTGTGTGTGGCACAGTATAGTATTTGCAAGGGACTTACAAGCCAATGCCCACTTCAAATAAAACGTGTCTAACAGTGTTGTAGGCAATCAGTCTCCTCCTGGCACCCCTGACACAAACGCTCTGCAGTAGACTTTGGCCAGTTCTGTGCCATGGCATCACAGCCTGACTCAAACTCTAAGTCTGTAGCTCCTGGAAAAATGTCAAACCTATTATTTTTCTTCTGAGAAATATGTATTTTTTATTATGGCTTAGACTTGCAGAAGAAGTGTGACAAACTGCCTAACATTTTTCCTGTATCAAATATTTGATGCTGCTATTGTCCCGGAGTTTCTGTTTCAAATAATGACAGGGGAAAAAAAAAAAAAAGAAAAAGAAAAAAGTAGTATTAAATTTACATCAAAGGAAAGCTGGGGAAGCAGAAACAGGAATAACAAACACATGCATAATATGATTCTGAACAAAGAAACCTGTGCCGCCAGTGCAGGGATGGGCTGTGTGGGAACACATGTGTGCCATTGCAGTGTATTGCTAACACATGTGGGGTCATCCAGACATGCTTGGGGGCAGCTGACATCACTGTTTGAAGGTAAATTTGACAGAATATAGTTTGTAGGTACTGTGGCAATGTCTGCAATTTACATCTTTATAGAGTGGTTACCACAATCCTGTATGTGTTATCCTGTACAAACTTCCCTATACAGGGTGTGCCAAGCAGAGAGTGTTTAGAATATGGAAAAAAAATTAAAAAACAGATGATAATGACATTCTGAAGTAGTTCATACACAGCTTTAAAATGAATGGGAAAAAAAAAAATCATTAAATTGTAATGAATTTCACCACTAAGAGCTCCAAAGCAGTTCAGCAGTTTTTCTTCTTCATCAGCTTGCAATGTTCCCAGCTTGTCCAGTGAAATGCAGAGCATGGCCAAGAGAACCCAGCTCTGCATGGAAGCGAGGATGTTTATCTAGAGCAGCTGGAAGGTTCTAGGTTCAAATCTCTTCCACAGGAACTGAGGACATGGTAGTCTTAAAGATACCTCAGACTGTTGTGAAAGTGATTTAGTACTTTTTATTTGTTACACAAAAATATGTATGCTTGACATTTTTCAGTAAGACTCCTGGTTTGGTTTGGTTTCACCAGATATTTGGAGTCTTGAATAAACAGTGTCTCTTACTCTGAACACCTTTTTGCTTTCCTTCACAAGCAGCCTGTTCTGCTGTCCTTCATGTCACACTCAAACCAAGGCAGCACTGCCCTGACTGGCTGGCCTGTATCTTGGGATTGTCCAAATGTTCAGCACCCGGAATATTGCAGCAGATTTTCAGCAGCAGGCAGCCACCAGTCCTGGTAATTACAGTTTAGGCCAAATTGTCAGAAGAGCTTGGCATACTGCCCCAGATCTGGTCCCAGCCATGGATCCTGCTTTCCTGCAGGAATCACAGCTCTGGTTTTGGGGGCCACCTAATTCCATGCTCCAAGAGCTGGAGTGTGCAGTCAGGATGAAGGTGGCAGCTAACTGCTTGTCACACATGGTGATGCTGGTTTGTGATACCTGTGGTGCAAGAGAAGGACAAAAAAATGAGAATCCAGCTATTAGAAAATGATAGTTATAAACACTCATTTTCTGTTACTAAAATCAGGTGGCTGGCTCACTGCATGCAGGGATTGAGGTGAAAATAGCCACTTTTGGCACATTCTAGCTAAACATACTAGAGCAGGTCTTTAAACCTTGCTGCCCTGGATTGCTTTTAATGGATCTCCAAATGGTACCTAAGGAAACCCAGATTTATGTTCATTATGTTGGTATCTTAAATTTCATCTATATTATCACTGAAAGATGCTTAGAGCTGCACAATTTCAAAACAGTTGAAAAAAATTCGCTGGAATAGAATTATAATCAACCTTAAAATAGTAGTTTTCAAGACAGTAACCACTAAAGTCAGTTGTTGGTTTCTTGAGTTTCTGCCTTCCCAAAGGTGGACCCAAGGGTAAAATAAGCTAGATGAAATCAGTGAATGTAGTGTCAGGGTTATCCAAGGGCTTATTGGCCTTTCTAATTGACCCTCAAAAACTATTCTACCTATTTCGGGAACAGACTAAATGAAGGCAGTTCACCAACTTTTAGATTAATCCAAACACATGTTAAAAGACAGACAATGAGGGGAAAAAAAACCAAAAAAAAAATGGAAAAGTCCCCAAGCCAAAACCAAAGAGGCAACCAAAGACCCCTGCCAGTCCCTTGAGGTGAGCAGGTCACTCCCTGGCAGAGCTCCTATGAGTTGCAAGGCAAAGCTGCCCCAGCCCAGATGTGAGATGGGAAGCTGTTCCAGCAGGGCATGTGGAGTGGGGCTTGGCTTGAGGGCAGGCTCTCCTGCCCCAGCTCTATTCCAGTGCGCTGCCAGTATGGCCCAGGGGCACCCCCCAGTACTACAGTGAGTAAAATGCTCCCAGTGTGCCTGCCTGAGCGCTTGCACAAGGTCCCCCACATGCTCAGAGAGCTGCTGAAGCTTTGCTCTGCCAAGGCCAGTGGGAATTTGTTCACTGAGTGGTGCAGGCAGGATTTCCCCCCACGGACACGCACCTCCTCCCGGATGCGTGTGCGTGTGTTTGTGTATATACATGCACTTTACAGTACAAAGTACTTACAGGAAGGCATCTTCTCTCTTTAAATATTTTTCTTCAACTTCATATTGCATGAAGTCAGGTCCTCACTGTCAGGGTTTCTCACAGCTTAATGGTGTTAAAGAGCCCTTCTTGCTCCCGCCTGCTGCAATAACAATCAGGGTGGGAGGAAGGGGAAATGAGCATGCAGCACACGCTGTACCTTCCAGCCACCAGCTATTGTTAAGAGCACGTTGCTCCAGACAGAGTGGCAGCAAGGCATGGGGTGGGAAGCAGGTGCAACCTGCCAGGAACACCAGTCTAGCAAAAGTTGATTTTTAATTCAGATGAGTACTCCTACTGCTCTGATGCCTCTTGTCACCACACTGAAAGAGGTTTTGCATTCCTGTTGCTCAACACATGAAAGCTTAGCAAATACCTCTATGGCAAACCAAGAGCTCATTTTTTCATGTTGGCACTTCAGTCATTCACCTGCAAAGTCAATAATAATTTTTTTTTTGACCCCCTATCACAGTACAGCGTTTCACGTGCAAGAATTTGCTCTCAGGAAGTTTGTTTCCAGGCAATTTTCCATAGTTGGGTTCTTTACAGAATAGTCTTCAATATCTCCTCCTTGCTTTCCCTGCTTGTCCAGCTTAGTATTTTTCCACTCTCTTCAGAAAGTCCCACCAGCAAAGCCTGCCCAGGCTGTGGTAGCCTCAGCACAGTACTTTGCTCAAGCTAAATCTTCACAGGTGCAGCCTGGCACAACCAACAAGGTTTGAACTGCTGCTGGTTGGCCCAAGCCTAATTCAGGTGCCTCACTCCCTAAATTGAAATGCAATGTGTTGGAGAGCTAGTCAGCCCTTGCTGAACCCCAGTGCTTTTTGCAGGCACTCTTTAGGATGTTTTATAAACATCAGTGTGTAGGTCCTTGCCACAGTGCACAAAGCCAGCAGCCCACACCTTCAAACCCCCTCTTTGCTTCAGTGTGGGAGTTACTGTCCTGCAGTGCAACACTAAAGCTTATTTGTGATCACATTTAGGTCATTCTGCTCCTGATCTCCATGAATACCTTGATTTCAGATACCTGCCTATGTCTGCTGAGCGCTCACACACCGTGCAATGCACTACAAATGAATGTGTTCAGCCTGGGTGCCACACCATAAAAAACTATGATGAAAGACCATCCCATCTATCTATGCCTGCTTCTACCCATCAGGACATTTTCTCTGCTTCTTTTCCTCCACCAAGGCCTGGAGATGAAGTACTGAAATCATATACACCCTGCTCTTAAAATGCCTTCCGTGGCTGGCTGCTGTCTGTGCAGGATTACCCTTCTGCAGCAGGATACAGCTGCTTGGCAAGGGAGTCAGGGGACCATAAAAAGGCCTGGAATTTTCTGTCCCTTACTAAGATTGTCCTTATATTTCTTTTCTCCTCATAGTTATTAGTCCTCTTTCACCAGAGGATCATTTCTGGGGAAGAGAATCTACCCCAGTTTCCTGTCCCTGTCATGCAGTAGCTCTCAACTCCAGTTGAACATGGCTTGGTTGTCCTCAGGAGCTAGTTCAATATCCTGCCAAAATGCCACAGCAACTAATCCTTGATTGTCTTCATCTCCTTCTCCAGCTGCTTTTGCATCACTCACAGGTGATATTGCCCTGTTCCTGGTAGCATGGCTTGCTTGACTGGGCTGAAATGATGCTGAAAAACAATGGAAAAAACTCTCAGAAATGGTCTTTCCCCCAAGGAAATTTCTCTTTAAATAGTTCACATGCATTTGGGAGGAAAAATACAGTTTTTATCTCATTAACATATGATTCCCCAGTCATCTGCACTTCTGAGCTCTGTACCTAATTTATGTTCATTTAACCTGGAGCTATGACATACAGCTTCAGACTATGAGAAAAGGACTAGAGACACAGGATTAGTGATCAGTTCAGCTTTATTTCACTCAGCAATGACTCTGGGTGACTTACCAGCAATTGTGGACTGAACAGAATACAACTGTCCTGCACTGCAGTGGAGTGCATCCGTCTGCACCCTGAGAGCTGTCGTTGCCTCCTCATCTTTCACGTCCCACTTGTGGCAGCATCACTTCATCTAGTCCACAGTAACTTGCCATTTGCACTGCCAACAAACCTTGAAAAAGTTCTGAATTTCATACCAGGGAAGGCCATAAGATGTACTTTCCATATCAAATGCCTCAGAAACTATTCCTGTGCTACCATAAAATCTTATCCAAAACACATGGGGATAAAGTTCTATGCTCTTTGTAGATTTTGCTGCATTGTTTTTAAATACTGATATAATATACTCTAATAAATAATTTCATATTTTGCATCTTTGCTTCTGTCTGATTAAGAATTGAAGATGGGAAGAGTAAGAATACTTCCCCATGTGTGGCTGGGCTGCCACAGTACAGGCCTCAGCATGTAAACACAGTGATGCAAAGTCCAGTCTCCCCTGTACCCTAAGTGCCCCTATAAAAATAACCTTATTCTTATGGGGACTAATGATGACAGTTGGTCTCAAATCTGTTTCCACCCCAGTGTCCAGGCTGCTGAGCTGTCTGAGGGACAAACAGGGCATCAAGGTGATGGCTTAAAGTAGACAGGGTTCCTGGCTTGTAGGAAGCACAACACAGCCACGCCTGTAGTGCTGCCAGAGATGAGGCAAGAAGTAGGATGGCTGTGTCCCCATGGGGCTAGACCCAAACCCATCAGCTCACACAGTGCTGGCTGGGACAGGAGAGGATCACCTCCCAAGACAGAACAGAGAGAGTCAGGCTGTCTCCAGTGTGGCTCCACTGGAGCATGAACCATACACCCAGGCCAGCTGTTCTTCAAGTGCCAGCTCACTAGGTTGTGCTACCAGCCCAGTTCCCAAAGGATTTGTTAGCTTGAGCCGAGAACCTGCCTGGGGACCTCTGGCTCACTGCCACCACAGCCACCCCATTTCTTCAGAGAGCAGAGTACTGGGAAGGTAGGACAGCAATACCTAAATCCTCTGTGGGAATTAGGTATAACCTGTATTAGTCCCATTACCAGGAGTAGCAAGGGAAATCCTTCAGCAAAGGAAATCCAAGTGCCATTTTATAGCATTAGGCAGACAGACAGCAGAGTAACCCTTGCACTGGCTCCTCCACCACCACACCTTGCAACTCAGGTGCAGCTGATCATGGAATCATTGAGGTTGGAAAAGATCTCTAAGATCATTGAGTCCAACCATTAACCCAGAACCACTGCTCACCACTAAACCATAGCCTGGATGATACCATCACTGCAGAGATGCTTACCCTCAGCTCCCATCTGCACAGTATTTCTTTTATAACTCCTTGTGCTAAACAGTGTTGGATTTGCTAAAAGCACTCATATTCTTGCCATGTTCTGTTCCCAGAAGTTCAGGAGGACCTCAGTGAGAGCAGTAATGCTGTCTCTGAGACTCTTGGCTCACTGAAAATTTTCAGCATATAAATGGCCAAAAAAATCAAATTTTACTTTTATAAATTGAAATATCCAAAATAATAAAATCTTAATCTGAAGCAGTTTTTATAAAGACTAATGAAACATATATTGTACAAATCCATTTCTCACAAGACTTCTAATTTTTAGGAAAACTTGACACTACTGTAGCTTGCTAAATTAAAAAGAAAATAAAATTCAACACACTGAAAATCCCCTTAAAGTGGGAATTCCCAGTTTTATTCTACCCTGAAAAATCACACAGACATGTCATATTTTTATGGCAGCAGATCAGAACAGCACCATTCCTTTCTTCTATATGGCAAGGACAATGCAAAACAATATCTTGACCAAGGAGAAAAAATATGTGACTGATTGAAATACAAAGAAGAAGAAGAACTTAATTGAAATTATCTTTTTAGAGCATCATTCCACATAGCTCAGAACTTCTCAGCACGAGTCTGGCATAAGCTGTGCTATGCCAAACTTCTTCAAGGCTTCCAACTTCAGTCTGAGAGCTAAAGGTGCAGAATTCGGCTCTGAGCATCCTGCTCTGGCTGACCTTTGCTCTGGGCAGGGGACTTGGACTGGGTGGTCTCCAGAGGTCCCTGCCAGCCTTGTCCTATTGCTCAAATAGCCCCTTTTTCTCCAAAGCTTAATCACAGACTGCCTCCCTGCTGCTCTCTTCCCCGCTGTCTTCTCCCCAGAAGTCACCTTCCCACAGACAGCTCAGGTGATGTGACACCACTGTCCCCTGCTCCTCTCTGTGGCCAGCACGACCTTCCTGCTGCCTGCCTGGCTCCTGCAATGCCATTGTCCCCCTGAAAAGAGAGTGGTATTGCAACGAGGCTGTGTTTTCACTACCCAAACCAGTCAGCTTTCTTTATAGAAAAATGGCTGGTTTGAATGGCTTTTTTTTTGTCAGTGAAGAAAGTCTGTGCTTCCAAGCATTTGTGGGGCACAGGCATGGCAGCCACTGAGGGAGCAACACTGGGCCAAGCCAGAAACCCTGCTGGGCAGCACCAAAATAGCCAATTACTTCATAGCCCATTAAAGAGTGAATAGACTAAAAATTATCCTGCACTAATGGCATCAGTCTTCTATGACTCCCTTCCAAGAGGCTGAGTCACTCATTTGCAAGAGTTAAAATGTCCTCAGATGCAAACACCAGAAAAAAAAAAGCTCCTAACATCCACTTTTCAAATAAAAAGTGAAAAACAGAATTCAGTAGGTCTTACTTAGGACAGAGCTATAGAAAAAATATGCAGAAAGCTATGTAGCTGCCCTTAGCTCACCATTTTTTAACAGAAATGGGAGATCTTTTGCCATGTCAGATCTTCAGTGATGCTGCTTCTGCTGTCCTCTTTTGGTAATTTTTAAGTTGAATTTGGAATCTGGGACATCATATTAAACTTGGATCCATTTTAGGGAAGAGTTTAAGTATTTTAAAGCTTGTGGAGAAGGAATTAATTTTTTTTCCCCTTAATGATGTAGTTCAGTATCTTGCACACTTATTTTACAATTATTTGTAAATCAAGCTGTCACCACAATGACATGTCTATTTAGAATTATTTTTTCTTAGGCCAATACAAATGATATCATGTCTTAGCTTGTGCGAGGAGGACAAGAACATCTTGTTAGAATAAAATTCTCAAAATCCTTTCACAGACATGCTTATCTACACCCTGCAAGTAGGTTTTTGTATTCTGTATTCATTGTGAATTTTGAAGTTAGAGAGGCAAACTGAAGCATGCTGCTATAGCTGTGTTCCTGTGAGCATGTGTATGAATATCAAATAATGAGGTAATCAGTGGACTAAGCAGCTGGTATTTCTATTCATTTTGAGGAGATAAAAATTTGTTTGGCTTTAATTTCATTTATTGGAAATTGGAAATTTCTCTGATCATAGTTTCTACTATATAACAGTCTCAAGTAGTGCAGTGCTGGAGGATGCAGGTTACAGATAAGTGTTCTACAGGCAGCCACATACATTAAAAGTAGCAAACCACCTTTAATTTGTACTGGTATAAATTAAAAGAAAATGAAAAATACGAAAAAAATAAAAAATGAAATAAATGAAAAAGCAAATTAAAAAACAACAAAGTCCATTATGTAATAAAAAAGTGAGTGGATAAAAACTCCTGCCCAAGGTACCGAGCTGCCTGAGAAAGCCGGTGCGAAACCAAATGCTGCAGGTGAACCAACTGCAAATTGAAACCAAACAGCTCCAGAGCAGAGGTGTTTGGCATCAGCCACAGGGATGAAGAGGTGTGCAGGGATAGCTGTCCCCCCTGTGGGGTGCAGAGTGGCCCCCAGGCTGAGATGCCCAGCTTCAGGGCAGCCCCTGCGCTCAGCACTTCCAGCACCTGTTCCTCCCCAGGGCGAGAAGGAGCTGCTCTTTGTCTGCCTTAAAGCAATACCCAGAAAAGGGTGGAGACTAATGTATTTTCCATTATCAGAAAAGCTCACTAACAAGTGTTGCTTCCCTGCTCCCTGCCACTCAAAAAGACTGGAGTCTCTCTGGAAGGCAGCCTTGTACAGAGGAACACGGGGGCACTCCCAGGCCAGGGCTGGTAAACACCCGCAGAGAGACAAAGGAGCACCGGAGGACCCGATATTCATCACCGGGGATTTAGGGCTGCATCCAGGAGAGGTGACCCAAAAGTCTCTCTGGAGCTCCCATCAGTGCCTGTAAGGTCACAGGCCCTTGTCTGAGCGGCTGTATTTTCCACAGGAGCCAATGAAAGAGAAAAGCTGTGCTCTTTCAGCGATGGTAGGAGCACAGCTGCTGTGGCTGAGCTGACTGTGTAACTCTGGTGCTCAGAGGGGAGCAGCTTCCATCCTAACAGCCCCAATGTGAAGCCAAACCATGGGCACCTTGCCCAAACCACTCACCTGCATTTTGGTGGTACTGGGGCCTACATTTGAGAGGATGAATCTTTTACTGTCAGTGCATTTTATGTCCCACTTTGGGCACTAAGGTATTATTTCAGTTCTGAGGAAGTGTTTGACTTTGGAGCAGCAGAAACTTGTTGCAAAGAATTTTGGCGTTCACTGTAGCCATCCAGTACTTACAGGGGCTTATAAAGAAGAGGGGGACTGACTTTCTATATGGACAAAAAGGGCCAGGGAAACAGCTTTAAACTAAAAGAGGAGAGATTTACATTAGATATGAGGAAGAAATCCTTTACTCAGTGGGTGATGGTACAGGAACAGGTTGCCCAGAGACATTGTGGATGCCCCATCCCTGCAAGTTGGACAAGCTGGATGGTGCCCTGGGCAACCTAATCTAAAGGGTAGCATCTCTGCCCATGGCAGGGATTGGAGCTAAATTTATTTAAGGTTGATTCCAACTCAGCCCATCCTATGATTCTGATATATCTGGGCTTCTGTCTGATGCTGCATACCTATCCCATCCTCTTCAGCACTATAGGTGTCTCACTACCAGTATGCTGGTTCCAGTGGAAAACCTGCTTAGTACTTGAGTCTGAAAATTCTGCCAAAAAGCAAAAGAGGTAATGTGATTAAGCCCAAATATCAATATACTAATTTCTCAAAATGGGATTTGATTTTAAAAAATCACCATCCAAAACATAGCAATACTATGTTCTAGTATTAGTATGTATGTATTTAGTATTTAGTATTAGTATGCTTTGTTTTACACATTATGATATGCTGACTTTGATTTCAAGATTTTTCTTTCTTAGGCATGAAGGCTAGAAAGACTGGATTCAGATTCATGAAAAGTGAGACTGTCATGAAACTGCAAAACCTGAGGAGCTAGGGCTTAGCAGAAAACAACATATGTCATGAGATTCACACTAAAATTAGAAAAGTGAATTGTACTGCAGTTCAGGTGTGCAGAACATTGTCAGGAAATAGAGTTATGCAGTAGAACTGTCTCTGAAGCCTGTATTTCAAGCAAGTCAGAACCAACATTTCTTTACAGCCATGGAATCCAGCCAATAAAACCTGTGGGGCATGTGCTACCCTCCCACACCCTCTGTAGTATCAGAACAAAGGCACACAGGAACTGGTGGGCAGCTGCCATTCAAAGCTGCATCGAGGCTTTTACAGGGAATTTGTCCTGAGAAACAGTAAGAAATCTTTCCCTTTAGTTTCCATATCAGGTTTTCAGATCAGTGCTCTTCCCAGCCTCTCTCCTCTGGGCTGCTCGCAGTGTGGAGTGCTCTTTTCCTGTTTACCCTCACATCCCTTTTTATTACTAGGCAGGATTTTTTTTTCTTTTTTTTTTTCAAAGCACACTCAGGCGCCTGCTTGTTTTTTCTAAAGCTCTACAGGGATTTGTCGGCGTCTTTTGCAGCAAGTCATCCTGTTTTCAGACAAAGTTCCTGTCTTGTTAAAAACAATAATTTCTGGATGTCTCTGTAGGTCTCCTGATTTTAATCATCCTGAGTCCTTGAGCCATGCCATCCACACTCAAAATATTTAGTGTTTGTTTGTAGCTAAAAACAAAAAGGAAAATAAAGGAAGAGCCCAGAGAACATTTCCTTCTGCAAGGCAGGAGACCCCTGAGCACTGCAGTAGCAGAGGTCAGCTGCACATAGGCTGTGGCACGCTCAGGACAAGGGCTGTGACTAGCAGACAAAACTTTACCATCACTCAAAATGCCTTGCTGCTCAGGAGCAAGTTGCCTGCAGGTGTCTGAATCACGGGTGAGTGCCAGCCAGCAGGGCTCTGACAGCCATGCTCAGCCCTGGAGCAGACCTGCAGGGCACAGCAGAGGATGTGCTGGGCCATAGTAGGGCTGCCCCATCTTTTGGGCCCAGTCTGCACCTAGAGAAAAAGAAGAGTAACACTCTCTTGTGCAACAGGAATAATTTTCAGACTGATCAAAGCTCTGCATGGCTTTGAAACCCAATAATAGACAGCAATAGGGCCAGTATAATGCTATATTATTTATTGGGATTTAATTTTATGTTGAGAGAAAAACTCAAGCAACCATCTGTCATATTATTATTTCATCTATTTTAATTCTTTACATGCTCCCTACTACTGTACTACTGTACTAAGGACAACTACTCAAAGAGTACATCCATGCTGACACCACCTCTTGTGGTGAGGGGACCACTGTTGTTTCATGGACATTTAGGCTGGGACAGATATTTTGCATGGCTTTGCATGAGACAGAGGTGGCAGATTACTGTTCATGCTTCCCTTTGCAGCCAGCAGTAGAAGGTATTTTCTGTTAGAATTCCTAAGTTGGAATTCCCTGCTGAGCTCCTCTCCGTGCAGTTTCTCCTCATTACCCTGGTGAAGGGGGACAGTGTCCTGCTTTTAAAGGTTAGAGTATATGAACAAACCCTCAGTAACTGGTGACATAAGATATCAAAGTGTTCAACAAGTGCATTTAGTACCACTCAGATAGAAATAGTTGGGGGAAGCTGGTTCACAGTAGGTGATATGTATCACTTAAAGCTGGGACAAGAAGTCAAGTCTCTTTTGTGTAGCCTTGAGGAAGGGCTGGATCTATCTGCCAGTGTGGCAAGGAGGACTCAAGGGAGCACAGGACCTCTGAGCTCCTGAGGGAGTACTTTCCAACCTCTCACCTATTGGAAAATGCTGTTATTACAATGGCAAAGAGCAAGAAAATAAAGAAAAAAACCCCAAAACAAATAACTTACTCTCCTTACTGGCTCCAGGTTTGCACTATACGAAGCTGCATCTTGGGTCCAAGGAGGTGTCCTTGGAGCTGAGGGACAGCTCACCTTCAAGTGCATCTCCAGGGTTTTGTGTACTGTTATGTTCAAGGAGGTGTTGAAATGTGTTTCAAAATATGTATGTTTAAAGAGGCCCCAGCCTGTACCTCCATTAAGAGAAAGGGTTTATTGTGTGCTTCCTAATGCTGAACACTCATGCAAAATGATCATCAATCAAAGTTTCAGGCTTTGGTAAATTTACCCCTGACAGTTCTTATAGGAAGATGTTACACAATCCCTAACCAAAATGCTTTGATCTCCTAAGTCAAAGTCAATATGTCCAGCTGGATAAATAGCATTAAGCCCAGCACTGCTTCCTGTGTAAGTGATAAAAAATTGATAAAATCCTGACTTTCAGAAGCACAGGTGCTTTAAATCAATGGAGCACAGTTCACCAAAGCTATTAATACTACCCCTGGAAGTCTCCACTGGAAGTAAAAAGCTTTGAAATTTTCATGCTCCTTAGTTCAGAAATGGAGTTTAAATTAGGTGGTTTTTAGGCAGCCACAGCCACTGAGCCATACCCTGTGCCAGTATCAGTCAGAACCGTGTCATTTGCTTAACTGGACCAGAGTCCCTGAGCTGATATTCAGCCTCCTGCACTGACAGCCTCCCTCCAGGGCAGCTGCATTAGCTTTCAAGGATGTGCTTACAGAAACAACTTTACAGACTTGTCCCTATTCCCTGTATTAACCAGTCTTCTCTTCAGAGACACTCAGCTGTTACCCCTCCCTTTCAGGGTCCTACCACTTTTCAGACCCCACTTAGTCTCCTTGAACTCTTAACAGACCGCAGCGAGAACATTTCCTCCTTCTCCTTCCCCTTGTATTATCATGGGCCTACAGCCTCTCTTTCTGGACAAAAGCAGGGCTCATGAATGATGGGGTTCAGGCAGGTTTCCTGCTCTCCAGCTTATTCACTTCCAACATTGATAATCTATTACAGATTCTGTCTTACTGCCCATTCCCCTCCTCCCCCAATAATAATGACATTCTTGAAAGCTTGAGATAAATATCCTGTTACAAAACAGATGATCAGGCTGAATAGTACTTTCATCCTCTAAGTGACTACTTGTGGGGGAGTGCAGATAGTCTGTTTAGCCATATGGATGGTTTTCTATCATTCACAAATGTCACTGACAGCAGGGCAAAATTTCTTTTTTTTCCCATGGTTTTTTGAGTTGCTTCAGCTGAAGTTGATTTTTGGAAGGTAAAATTCACCCTGGTCCAAGGGTCACTTCATAGCAAATATAGCCCACATGTTCTTATAAAAGTCCTGAAAACATATGCCAAATTTCAGAAAAACATGCACCTTGTGCTAGGCTCCTAGAAGTGCTGTGTCTTCTACAAAAAACAAAACAACTTTGCTTCCTAGAAACTCTTCTTTGGACCTGAGGGGAGGAAAGGAGTCAGAAAAAAAGTCCCCTCTACCACTTCTCAAGAAGCATTTCTTACTTCCTCCAAATAACCATGCCCACAAAGAAGCATGGTGTGCCCTCTCACCCAGCAGCACAAACAAAAACAGACCCTTGAGTTTCAACAAATGGCCTGCCTGGAAAAATTACAGAGCTAAAGAAAACAGTCTATGTCTAAGAAAATGTCAGCTAAGGCACTTTCTCCCTAAGCTGGTAAGAAGAGCTGATGGGCAACCTGTTCTCAGAGAGAGCAGAGCCAGCACTTTTCACGGGGAACTGTTCTCTCAGGTTCTGCAGCAGCATTTTGCCTAGACCTTGTCCCTTCCTCCTTGTCCTCAGCCACAATTCATAACACCACCCAAGTGAGCAGAAATTCTCCTGACTGCTCCCAAACATGTTCCTGCTCTCAAGTGAGCAGAAATTCTCCTGACTGCTCCCAAACATGTTCCTGCTCTAAGGGGTGGCCTTAGGCAAAAGCAATCTCAGCAAATGCTGCTCTCTGCTCGCCAGCACATGTAGCCCTCCCATCACTGTGCCTCTCAATAGTCCATGTGGGACACTCAACAGATGCCCAGGAACTGCCTGCAAGGAGACAAGGGACATGGAGCTGAGCCTGTACAAATTCACAGGGCAGCTGTTGGCATAGGGGAGGTTTTCGGTCATCTTTGCCTTACTTGTAGTGCCTGGTTGGACCTCAGCTTGCCACGGCTGGACATGAACCTTCTGGCTTGTTTTTCCCATCACATCTGTACTGTCTCTGTGGTCAGAAGTTCATCTTACCCTTCCTTCTAAAGGCAATGTGCTGAACACAGCTTAATGGATGATCAGAGCAACTGATCAATTCCAAACCCTGAGAATAAAAAGTCCTTGGTTAATCTCTCTGCCATTTTGGCCTCCTTTACCTTCTAAAGTAATAGGCAATATATTTTTTCAGGGACTCAGTTGCAAAATCAATATAGGCTTTGCTTTTAAGAGCAAAAAGATGAAACCGCCTTCCACAGGTCCTATTCCAGGCATTGCTTTTGCCTTGCTATGTCAGCTAAACCTAGCTTGAAAAACTGCAGTAACACCATTGATGATCTTACTCAGATGAGATAAATAGCTTCAAAGTGACTGAATCAAATGGTATGTCCTCAAAAGAGAGGGATGATTAATAGGTAGTAATCAGTATTTTCCCATAACAATGTATCTCTTCACTTTACCAACTAATAGCATCAGTATCCGTGAATTTACTTCTGTAGGTTTTCAGTAAACAAAAAAGTCCAGCCAGTGAAATGGTTCAAAGGGAATCCCTGTGGTACATTTCTGAGTTACCCTGAAGCTGAGTGGTGTGGGTAGGTGACCTCTCCCTACCTGTTTCTAAGAGTTCTTGTCCACCTCTCATAGCAGAAGCATCATGTGTTGTTGATGAATTTAAAAGAGTGAGAGCAATTATTTTTAAATAATTAGTCTGTTTCTGTATTCTGAACCTAAAAGAAATTAATTTAATCACTGAGTGCAGAGAGCTCTTTGAATGAAGAACTCAGGCTTATTTGTCTCCAGTTTTCTCTGAGTAACTACATGAATCAACAGGGGTGGCACTTGAAGGCACTGAGCTGAAGTGAAGAGCACTCTCATCTCGAGCTCTCAATGCAGAAGACTTTGTTCCTCTTTGCATAAATCCTGGGGAAGAAAATATGAAGCACTGAGAGTTCCTTTGTTTTTGCTCATTGGATTTAAGCAATTCCTCCTGCACACATCAGAACAATGAATCCCTTCAGTCTACCAGACTACATGCAATATAAGGCAATCAGTTCATGCTGCAGACCTCTAGAATTTTCTAAGTTTTGGGGAAGCAAATGGGATGATTACAACAACTTCAGATTCAAACTTTGATTCTGTTATTTTAAAGAGAAGTAATAAACAACATACTCCCCAAAGACACATGGTCCCTGTATCCAATTATTATCCTCACATAATGTACACATCACTGAGACAGAATGTCTAGGCTGAAGCTGTCCTCACTAATTAGAAAAATTCCTCGCCAAAAGTGTATTGGTTTGTGCCCAAAGAACCCAGGTTCTCTGGTGATTCCTCACCCCATCCTGCCAGTGGTGGAATCCTCACCCTAATTATCTCTAGCCTCAGTAAGGAGGCAATACACAGCCAATACACTGAGTGTGGACAAGCACCAACACAGATGGTAGGTTGGTCTTGCTCTGAACCTACACAGCATGTTACAGAGCCCCTCTCTCTGACTGACTTCAGGAAATACACTTAGATTAAAAACATCCTGCAGCCATTAGCTGGCTATCCAAAATCCACTGACATGCTGTTTTGTTAGATGTTCAGGCATGTCATAGCACCCTTCAGAGCTATGATCTGGCTCATTAATAGTAACATGTAGAAGAAGAGACAGTATATCAAATATATTCATAATTTGAAATATTTCATATTTATCCAGATTTAAAAAAAAAAAACATGAATTCAATTGACTGGTTTGACTACAGGGTTTTTGTACCAAAGGCACAGTTTGGATTAAATGAGAAAGAAAACAGTTACCAGTTTTTGTTTATTTCATATTTAATCTCCAGAGAGATATCTTTTCTCAAATGTCATTTGGACGTGGACCTGGTCTGACTAACTTTGGTATATTGATCTTGGTAAACAAACCAGTTCTTCTTTCCCTCTGCAATACATGTAGAAATGCAGTTGCCTTTGCAGTGCAATACACCATTTTTGCAGCACAATGCACCATTCCTCAGTGGGGTACTGAGCCTACTCATCTTGAATATTGGACACAACATATTTCAAGGGTTAGTTTGGAGGCTGCGTTATCATTGTCCATTGGAAAAATTATATAGGTGAAAAACCCTGGCAAACTAAAACTTAAAAAATTAAAAAAAAAAGAAAAAGAAAAGACAAGGTGTTGAGGGTGGATGTAATGAAAATGCTGATGGGCCCTTGCATTCAGTGGCAGTAATTAGCTTTACCATAGTAAATTCCAGGCATATGGTATATCAACTTTCTCACCCTCTTATATGATTTAAATGGTTCTCATAAATGTTTGTCTCACTGTAACTGTGAAAAATCTCCTCTTTTCTCAAGAATAAAACTGCTCCAGTATCTTGCCCTGACAACTGACGCTTAAAAAAAACCTCCCAAATCCAGTTAAGGCAATGATGTGTGTTTAATGCAAGAGAACAACAATTAGTGTATTTTTGACTGAAAAGAACTCAGTTAAGCTGCCAGAAATGTCAAAAGTTCCTCGTTACCCTGACACTTACGTAATTGTTCTGCGAACACCCACACACCGGAATAGACCTACTCCACCAAAAATTGCAGGGCTGACTCACCGAGTGTTCTTCTACGTATTGAAGACCTAACCATCTAGGATACATCATCCATAGCATAATTCTAATGTGATTTCCCTGATTGAAGTTACACTTCACTCAGGGAAAAAAAAACCCAAACCCCTCCATATCTTCAGGATCCTGTCCAATCATAGAGGAAACAGCCAAAAATGGCAGCACTGCAGGCAGTGTCTACTCTCCAAAGGCTTGCCTGAGCCCCATACAAGGGCAAGGCTGGGATTAGACGCTTCTGGCCATGGTCTTCAGGATTCTCCTTGCTGAAACACAATACAGAAGCAATTGTACCCACAATCCCTTTAGTTTTAACCTCCATGCTGTGTAACATTCACCTTTCTGAATCCAGTTATTACAGCTGGCCATAAACCTTTTTATCCGAAGGAAGGTGCTCCCCTCCATGCAGCTCATTCTAACCCTGTCTTAAGGCACTGATCTGGTGCAGACTGGAAAGCGAGCGGGGGACCACTGAACACTGGTCCTTGCTTACTTTATATAACACTTTTCTTATTCCCATTCAAATTCTGTTGTGATCCAGAAGTACTTAACTTCTCTGGTCTGATGGGACTGCCACATGAAATGAAGCAGATTGTCGCAAACTGGGACTAGAAGCAAAAAGAAAATAACCAACCAACATTTATAATGATTACCAGGCAAAAACCTCTAAGAAAGAGCAGGAAGGCTCCAGTTTACCACTGGAAAGCATAGGGCTGTAGGTCTCTCTACAACAATGTCTTGCAAACCCTTGAACAGAGATCTACACACACAATTTAGCCAGAATAAGAAACTTTGTGAAAATGGTACAAAAGTACTCAGAGAAAGAAGTATTTTAATATAATTTTCCTTTGTGGTATGTTGGTGACACCAATGTACCAAATAAGTGACAAAATCTGTGACCATGAACAGTCCTGTAATCATCATGTCATTGTGCTCTGACATACCCAGTGATGACCTGGAATTTGGATGTGACAGTTCTGCTATTAAGTTCTCATAAATACCTAAGCATGGCAAAGCCAGAATAAACTTGACAACAGTAACTGTTTTGCCAGTATTTGCAGAGATTACACTTGTAGACACCGAGCCTTTGAGGTATATTTTATATTGCAAAACTCTTAATCAAAGAACTACACCCATTTATGGCTTACCTTGAGATGCATGCCTTTCAAAAGGACTCTGTTCACTCAATATATACTTTTCTAGTAATGTACACAACCCAATATTGCCCCAGACATTTATAATACTGCTCCACATTTAGGACATCACCCTTTCCCCACTTATTCCTAAACCAGAAAGGTTTGTGTGACTTATATCACATTTCATCTCCTGGAAGACAGCACCAGGGGTGCTTCAAATTCAGCATGGGACTTGAGCCCTTTGGTTTTTTAAACAGTGTAGGACATTTTAGCACCTAGGTCTGGCCATCAGTTTGGTACTTCCCCCTCAACAAGCTTTTACCAGCCTTTTTTGACAGCAGCAGGTCACAAGGGAAAGCTTCAGGCTCAGTAACAAGGAAATTATTACCTCTGTCAGTGTATGTATCTGGTTTGGTGCAGGTCCTGCCTGGTCTAGGAGAAGTTCCTATGAGGGACTTTCCATCTGTGAAAAGTAAAGCAGAAGTGCTAAATGGAAGTTCCAGGATGCATAGCTGTCCATGTGTCATCCCCTGTGATGTCCTGGAGCCAAACTGTGTGCTCAGCTCCATGGGGTCCCCAGGACATATTTCAGTGGCCATATAGAAGACAGGGGAAATTAAATTGTTCATTACTTGGTTGAACTACTAATTGCCTCTCTTTGGAAACAGAACATAAGATAGCTGCATAGCATTTCTTTTCCTGAATATTCCTGTCCCAGGATGAAGATCTTTTTCTTATATAATTTGCTGTCCCTGCTCTGCTCTCTGCACAGTTGATTTACCCTGCCCTGTGCAAACACAGCCATTGTTTACTCTTTCCATGGTCTAGAGCAAGTCTTCAGTCATCCCAGGGTCAGGATTTATTCCCATGGCCAGAATGGAGAGATTTGGTAGCAGGGGATCTTGCAAACACAGAGGAAAAGAAATCTTTAGCTCTGGGAAGAGAGAGCTGCTCTCCACGCTTCCTTAAGGCTGTCAGGTTTGCTTTCTTGTAGGATGAGTGAATGGGACAAAAATGGGACAGTGCTATTGAAAGAACATACTTTAGTGACAGCACTAATGCCTCCCCAGGTAAGCCCACATGTTAGTCCCTAGTTAGCCCTTCAACCAAAATGGGCAGCATTATAAAGAGATTATGGCATTTTCTCAGCAGCCTCATCTGGTGTGATGCATGTGCCCAGTATAGTGTGACACAGGCTGCCACTGAACAGCAGAGAGTAACACCAGCCTGCACAACATGAAAAAGCTCTCTGGACCCTACTGAACTCTTTGGTATGGACAAAGAAATAATATAAGTCTGTATACAACTAGCATGATATTTCTGAACCATGGATCAGGAGTTTTAGATAGAAATTGCTCTATTCCTTAGCTAAGGTAACAGAACCATATTAATTTACATTCCAACCAGTAAACAAATTTATTAATTTAATCACTGCCACCAAATTTAATGGTGTATCTCTATTTTCAAGAAATCACACACACAGTGCCACTTCTATAATTTAGTCTGCTTCTGGTTTTTGCCACTATTATACAGTCCATTTTTTATCTGAAAGCTATCAAATTAACATGTAATTATAAGAAAAGTGTGCAGACACATAGCCTTCTGTTCCCTTCATGTTTATTATTTTTAAGAGACAGCTGCCCACCTGTGCTATGTTTCTGTTGCCAAAACCACTATGAAATGACACACAGGTCAGTGCCACCAAAAGTGTCCCTAGCAATGGCAGCATGTGGTGGGAAGGAAAAAAAGAATAAAAGAAAATACTACAGCACTTGCCTCTGTGCTTGGCCAATACACCGTGAGTGCTGCTAAATGTGTGCCTTGCACTACCCTCCTACAAGCTTAGTTTTATCCTCTGAGAAGAGAATCTGACAGCCAGTAGTGATCTGCTGTCAAACGAAACTGCTCACCTTTGCACACCCTAAGGAACAATTTGGAGAACTCACGAGCTGCATTCAGGAGGGAACCTTGTTTATACCACAAGGAGTCAAAAGAAAACAAAACTCTTTAAATAAATGCTGTCTGTGGTAAATAAAGTCTGTCGTAGCTGTTAAGTATTTTAAAGCATCATTCCTAAGTAATTGCTAATTACATTACTTTATTACAAGGCACAATTAAATATGTGCTTGAAGTCATCCAGCTACTTGCTGTTTCAAGGAAAGCACTTGAGTCAAAAGGATTTCCTAAATGGAGTCATTCAAGTGTTTTATTTCTCCAGCTTCAGGAATTATTTTAGATGTGAATAATTGGACATTGAATAACCAGTTAAATGTCATTTCCATAAATTGTTTGTACTTTACATAAAAGAAATAAAATGCCTTATAGGACACTTTTGTTCTCCCTTTAAGACACCTTGCACTAACCAGTCTTACACTAGTGGTACTTCATGGGCAATTTGGTCTAGAATGATTTGTGTATTTCTATTTTCAAATAGATCATTCACAGAAACCAACACAGACATACACTGATTTTTCACTTTTACTGGAACTAAAAGGAACTGTATAAAGGACTTAGAAATAAACCTGAAGGTGAAAGTCACAGACTGCAAGGTAAGCATGTAAAAGTACAGGCTGGTTCCACCAGGCACAATTTAGAGACAGCAATGGGAGCTAAGCAGTTCCAGAGTGCACCCTCAGAAGACCTTCTGAAAGTGATAAATGAGAGGAAATAAGTAGGTAAAATGTGAACCTCTAACTTCCAGCATCTAAAGCTGAATGACTTTTTAGCTCAATCACAGGCATTTGCTGGTTCAGTCAAAGCTGATAGTCATGATCCTCAAAATTCATGCATAAGTATGACTTGTCAGTGGAGAAACCTGTCTTCACTACATTTTCCAAGCTCTTGCACATCCAGAGTTGAGTTGAGTTGGCATCTCACCCAAAATCCTGATGCCAGCATGTGTTATACTCCTTGGCCTTCTCCAGCAGGCAATCCCAGAATGTTCTTTGCTTGCCTGAAATCACACAGTGCAGATACAGAAGATGTCTCTGCCATTTTGATTCAGATGATCAGTGGGATGTGGAAAATGAAGGCTGGAGTCCCTGCTCTCATAAATATTGATTGATGCAACATGGGAAAGGAGTGACCAAAGAAGCAGAAAACCCTTTCCTATATATTTTATGCCCCATCTTTCCACAGAAAGACAGATTCCTATCAAATTCTGTTTCAACTAAGTAGACGAGAGGCATGAAGCAGTATCTTTACAGAAAGTAAGCACTTGTATAAAAAAAATAGCATTCTCATCTCTGATGTGTAATGCAAGAAGAAACTTCATCAGTACTTCTGAGAATGCCTCTACATCACTGCCTTAGTATTCCAGACTGTGAAGTGTCTCAGAGTGACCCGGTTGGCCTGGTTTCAAAATGTCATAGATACCTGCCTTTTTGGTTCTTCTCTCTCCCATTACACTATGTAGATAACCTGTCTGTCTAATTCAGGGCCAGGGCTTCTATTACAGGGAGAGATATGAAGGAATTGGACAAAGCAACACTAAATTTTAATTGTCATCATGCAATGCTATTGTTCTCTGTGTCTAAATGTCTGGCCAAGACAAGCTCAGGTCATAAGCACTCATGGAGATCTACTGGGCCCTCTACACATGCTACAAATGAGCAAAATGGTCCAAAAGACAGAAAAATAGGCTATTTGTTATTAATAAGCTTTGAGCCGGACTGAAGGAGTCTTACTTGCAGACAAGAAAGTAAAAAACCAAAGCCAAACTAACAAAAAAATAAAGACATGTCTCTCCCCATCCAAAAATAAACATTTCAGAGTTGAAAATCAAACTGCCAGAGGCTGGGTGAATGAAGGCATCACGGTTGACAGAAATAGGCTCTTCTCACTGCTCAGGTATTACAAAAACTTCTGGAAGCTGAAGGATGAATGATCTCCTGGTGGAGCTTGGGCTGTACATCTGGTCTCTGACAAAGCATCAGATGGTAGCATGGTTAAATGAATCTGCTCCAGCATCCCTCAGTGACAGACAGGACAGAGCAGTTCAGACAGAAAGAGGGAAAGGGAGAGCATATATGCATGCTAACAGAAGGACAAGGTGGCACATAGTTCTCATTCTCCTTCAGAGTTCTTCAGCTGGTGTGTGCTGATGGAGGTACTATGACAAATTCAAAGGGTGCTGTTTGTATTTGACTGGTTTAACGCTGCTGCAGTGCAAAATCTCCTGCCTGTGTCTCAGCTGACCAAATGCCACCCTCAGACTGCTGCCATGCAATGAGCAGGCTATAGCTACCACCATTACAAGTGTGTCTCCAGCTCCACTTTGGAATTACAACTCTCTGGAGTATGCTTCATCTTACTGCCTTCATACATTTACCCTTTAACGTTCATAGTATTTCCATCAAAATTGAGAGTACTTATGATAAAAATATCTTTACATGCTATAATTATTTATTGGAATAGTATTGTTATACTACTAGGCAGGTATCCCACCCAAAATAATACTTAAATAAATAATACCAAAGGCTCCTGCTTTCTAGTTGTATCTGACACTGCTCTGGACATTTAAACAGCATACTCTGAACATAGAGAGCGGAACAGCGAGTGAAGCACCTGGTAAGAACAGCCTGGAAAGTCTTTAACAAGAGAGGACAGGTCCACGGTGGGCAAAGGTGGTCTGGACAAGTTACGCTGAGCCATGCGGCAGGGTGTGTGTCAGTTCAAGGAAATCTCCCGGTTAGGGGCGGGGCAAGGTTTGTGTAACACTTCAGTCCCTCTTTCAAGCCTCTGGAAAAGGTAGCAAGAAGGGATCCTCTCAAAATCCCTGCTGGGGAGGATGTCGTTAATGCCATCTGGGTGTCAGCCTTGCTTTAAACTGCAACCACTGATGTGTCAACTTTAATTAACATCACGGATATTTTCTGTGTGGAATACACAGGACTGCCCATGCCACTATCTGTTCCCAGGGTCACACTCTCCAGCCGCTCGCTACCTAAAGAACCTCCTTCAGCTGGGGTTAAAAACGGTGAGCCCTGATGCGCAGTAGCGGTGGAAGAGAGATTAGCGTCTCCTGAACAATTTTACTTCCAAGCAGATGTCGGTGGCAGGATTAGCATTTAGGCCAGGCTTCTCCTGATTTATTGTCGCTCCTCGCTTTTCCCTTACCCATTTGCTAACCCTCACCTTGGAACCAC